ATTGTTTTTTGGTCCATAGAACCTCGTTATTTTTATATGTTGCGGACGGAGGTCACGCTAAACACCCCGATATTTTTGAAGGACACCTTTTTCTTCGATCGGGTTGAAGTTTCTTCAAGTTCAAAAATTTAAGGACTTTTAATAGGAAATTATTTCTCATCCACCATATTCTCCGGATTTAGCGCCTTCGGATTATCACCTTTTTCGTCGTTCCCAAAACTTATTAAGCGGCAGGAACATGAATTCAGTCCATGAAGTGAAAAATAAGGTGTTGGCTTCCTTTAATTCAAAACCAATTTATTTATTCAGAAAAGGTATCCAATATTTGGTTTAAAACTGGCAAACTGTAATAGAATAAGATGGTAGATTCTAGATTGGACGTGTCTCATTGATTATATCCTACCACTTATATCAGAAAATTAAATACCAAAATTACTTACTGGGTGTCCTGGTTCATAGTTCAATGTATTAAATCTTTAGAAGGAACAGATAAGCTAAGATATAGATACAGTTCTTTTTATGCATTATTTACATATAATGAGTTAATTTCTGGAGGTAAAGTTTTTGGTATGACATAGCGATGGCATTTAGATTATTTTGGTGGGAAATATATATATTTTTATAATTTTTTGCAGACACACACACACACATATATATATATATATATATATATATATATATATATATATATATATATATATTATATATATATATATATATATAGAGAGAGAGAGAGAGAGAGAGAGAGAGAGAGAAAGAGAGAGTTAAGCAATGCGAATTTCGGGACTTCTTTTCAATTTGTACTGTCTAGTTTGGGTAAGTTCACAGCGCGCAGTAGATCGATGTTATCGAATCCGACTCTAAACTTAGAAAACCGTCGATGAAATTACCACTAATATTATTAAAAAGAAAAGTAAATTTTATTCTGGGAAATTTAGTCCCCTGAGAATAACTACGATGAACAACGAAATGACAATTGTCTAGCATTAGAATACAATTAAAAATAAATTAATTTCAAAAGTTATCTAACCCTAATATTAAAATAAAGAAAAATCAATAGTAGACATATGAAATTATATATAAATATATACGAGTGAGTTCACGTATTTGTACAAATAAGCAATAGGTATGGATAATACATACATATCTGCAAAATATCAGTGAAATGTTCCTGGCATCTCTAAAATACAAAATAACATTATTTTAGCATATATTCGAAAGATTGGTTGCATATATTTGGAAACTAACACTAACTAATCAGTATTGCCAACCTAAACAATGAAAATGTGTTGAATTAATTTCGATCTAATATTAAATTTTTTTTTAATAATGCTGAAAGGAGCATTGTCAGAATAATCTGAATCTGTCAATGCAATCGAATTTTATTTTTGGAAGAAAAATAAGAACGAACAAGTTCCTAAACTCACCGATGTTGATCGACGCCATCGGAGTCGTCTCTAAATTGGGCGAAACGAAGCCATCGATGGGCCTAATGCTGAGTTTAAGAACTTGTCCAATGTAACTTTTATCAATTGATAAAACTGTTTGCCCTTTGACAATAAACTTTAATATTTGTAAAGAAAATTAAAATTAGTTCATTTTTTCTCATGGACCAATGAGTTTTAGACTCATTAATAAATCGTCTTTTGCATGCAGGTTTCAATTTAATAACTTCTGTGATAAAAAAAAGAAAAATAAATAAAAACACTAACCTCAATAGTTTCATATTGAGTATCTATTAAAGTTGTTATACGTTGAAACTTCAGAAATAATTTGAGCTGAGAATGTATTATGTTATGCTAAAAAAGTTATTTACCGCGAAAGTAAACTACTAAACATTTGAACCTTCATCTACACTAACAACACCGCTAAAATAATCTTCGTTTCCAACACATAGTTTCAATGTCCTGAATTTTGCATATAACTCCGCCAAGGAAATTTGTTTTAATTCAAAATTGTCTTTCTTGTGACTCTTAAACTAACCTATAAACACCCTAAATTTTGATTGAAAATATGTCAGAGATTTCAGAGAATGGCATATCTTAAAAATAGTAAAAGAAAATGTTAGATTTTTTAGGAACTACTTTTTTGGACTCAACGAACTTCATAAAGTGTATATCTTTACCCTTTATCTTGTTCAGTTGAGGTAAAAATATATACAGAAGTTTTCTAAGCATTGACATTTAAAACTTTACAGATGAAATCAATATATATTGATTTAAGGAAACGTTTTCATCTTAGCAGGTTTGCCCAAGGCCATTCTGTTTTGGAGGGGATGTAACTTGGAGCTGTGTGGTGATTCCCAATGTGGGATTCCGCTTCAGTCATGCAATAAGGGCACTCTGTGCCATTAGTTTTAAGATGTCTGTTATGAGGAATCCTACTGTGGAGGTAATAATTCTTAACAATTAACATATTAAAAGTTAACCAACTTCAATAGATCTAAGTTTCAAACAACTTAATCACTACTGCCAAGTTGTTTACAAACATTACTATTGTTTATAGTGTGTAAACATAATTGTTATAAAATCAAACATTATAAATTTATCATTTCAATTTTTAATTTAAAACAATCTAAACCTATAGTTGTGATTACCAATCAAAATATAACCTGACTTAATTTTAGTATTTTAATATAATTAACACTTTTTATATTTATCATTACATGAAACTAAGAAATATTAATATTCATTATCATTTGAGAATTAATTTTATTATTTAAACAATCATAAAAATTGTTATGTCAAATATAATATTTTAAAAAAACTGTATTTTTTGTGTTTTTCTTAGTTAATAAATATTTTTAAGATTGAAATTCTATCAATTATTGTTGTTTCACTTCAATTTGAAATAATATTTTGACTAAACATGACAAATATTATTGTTAATATTAAGTAAACGCTATCAGAAATATTTTTGTTTACTGTTTTGAAAAACAAACATTTTATTTTATGTGTCTTTGAAAATTAAGAAACTATAGGAATATTATTAGTATCTATTGTTTTAAAAAAAAATTAAATTACATAAAATAAACAATTTAATTAAACAAAATAGAATTTTTTGTTTAAAAAGTATTTAACTTAAATTTTTATTTTAATAATGAAATGTGATGTTCAACATTTTATTTACTATTTGAAATCATTCAAATAAATTTATAAAATTATTTATGTTAACTTCTCTGAAAATTATCATACATTTTTCATTTGTTATATTTAAGAAATATTTGAATTTTTATTGGAACATGAATAATAACATAAGTGTTATTTTTTATTGAAGCAATTATACGAAAAAATGTACTAGTTTTTTTGTTTTATTCTTGTTTACATTGATATCTTTTAACTGATATTGATAAGATAATTTGACAATATATCTTTATTTGAAAATATATTAACAGATACAAAGAAACAGAACCAAATAAATAAACATTAAACATGATCAAAGATTGGATTTTTATTCAGTTTCATATAAAGTAAAAAGGAAACTAAAAATAAGAAACAAGATGATTATATCCAATAAAATATGTCAAAAATAATTTATTTTTAAAGGAATATATCAATTGAAACACTTTAAAAGCAAAGTATAATAATGAGTAATTATTTTCGAAAAGGTTGTTAAAATAAGGATGTAATATGCTACAAGCGAAAAAACACATTTTATGCCTTCAAAAATATTTTATCAAAATTGTGAAATAAAATTGATTTTTTTTTAATACCTGTTTTCATTTTAAAACTTGATTTAGTTTTTCTAATGTTTAATAAATAACGCTTACATTAACAAAATACAATAATTATTGTATTAATAATTAAGATTACAATATATTAACAAATCTATTGTTTAAATGATGCTATAGAATAGCTTGTGATATAAATTTTAAAAATCTAGCAGTTTAATAATACAAACAAAACTACATGGTGAATTAGTCTAAGAACCCAAATTGTAGCATCTGACCTTTGACTAAAGGTGTCAAACATTCATTATTTCAAGTGATCATCGCTAAAAGGATTCTCTTTCAAGTCGTTAGCTACTTGGAAGTTGAATATTGAACTTTAACATAAAATAATATAAATTAAAATGAGAAAATGTAATCAGAGATAACATTAATAAGTTACTGATGGATATAATGTAATTTGACTAGTTAATTAACATTAAATTTTGAGTAGTAGTTCTCTTCAAAAACATCTTATTAAAACCCTTACCATTAAGGCTTGAAGTCAGAAATTAGTAATTAAGTTATATGGTTAATGTAAAAGTGACTTAACTGTCATGTTTTATATTAAATTGTTTGCAATATATTTCTTTAAAATTCATATAATACTCCATTTTTTGTTTATTATTGTTTCTGTTGTTAAAATAATAATTATTTTATTAATAAAAAATTATCTCATTTCATAATGAAATATTTATTATTTTTCTATATGTCAGAATCATTATTCAGGTGAAGTATGTATCTTTACATCAATATGTGCCATTCGCATTACCAGTTTTGGATTTATTATAATGAACTATAATAATTGTACAAAGAGAATTTTCTAACTAAAATATAAATAAACAAAATTTTTATATTATCATGGTATAAACTTCCCTATAAAGTCCCTTCAGGATCCCAAGGAATGCCTCTGTTTTATGAAGATCTGAAGTGGTTATATCCTTCCTACCGTCATAAGTATTTCTTGGCATCATTATGGTTTCAAGTCATCCCATCTCACCATCGCTCTTACGTCTCCGAGCTCCTTCAATTCAAATCCTCTGTTCACTCCCACATTCACTCTGTTCAATCATTCAAGAATGCCTCCCTCCAAGCATGCACCTCTACCCACAGCGCATAAACATAAACCTTTATGCCCAGTTTTCTCTACCATAAGTCATCATACACCCTACGTTTGGTATTAGTCATCATAACATTAAATGCTCCATTGATCTCTTTGTTGTTTTAAATTATTAATCATTATATTGTTAACAGTCCACTATAAATAAACTATTACCACATTTCTTCATCATTTAGATGGAAGAGGATTCCATCATAGCACTCGTTCCCGCTTCACAGCAGATTGTTCTGTCTCCAACACTTCGACACTCATTTCCAAGCCTTCCTGTAAATACTTCATTTACTTTGATGTGAGTATATTTTCTTTAAACATTCATTGTTTAAAATGTTTATATGATTCATTTAGATAATTCTAATTCTTTTAATAATTTATATTTCAGGCTTAAGGAATCTCCAGCCATAGAGCAATTAGAAACACCAGAAACTCCTGATAACAACTCTAAACCAGTGTCCTATACATTGTCAGTTATCCGAGTCGTGTACAATGAAGTACTTTGTTTATTACTAAATGATTTAAATAATAATTTTTTGTTTCAGAGATACGCTTTCAGTAATACTATCTGCACTTTACTGTAAGCTTCTTATAGTTCTAGGTTTGGCACTACCAATCACTAAGATTATCACCACAACAGTACCTGCAGAATTTTATGATGTAAAGTAGGAATAATTAAATAAGTAATTCAGATTTATATTCATTTATTATAAATATATAGTTGAGTATTAAAAAATATCCATTATTTGTAAAAATCAAAAAGTTATAGCATATAAAGTTTTTTTTTCAAATAAGTAAAACAGAAAATAGTGAGACCATTTTTTCCTCCTTGAGTTTTACAAAAATTTACAAAATAGTAATTAGTCTTTTAATTTCAATTCAGTAAATGTAATATCATTTGTCAATGAATATGTATAATATAATTATTTCAATATATTTATACAATTAAAAATGTAACATTCATATTATTAAAAGAATTCCGACCCTTCCTGGGATTTATATTAACAATGTTTAATAGAATTATGGCTAAGATAGAATTGAATTCTATTATAGCCACTGCAATTTATTATGGTTAGAATACTTTATTTATCAAAAATTCCTATTTGTGAAATCAATTCATGAAATTTTTTTTTCAGTTCTTCTACATATATTTATATGGAGGAAGTTTAGCTTTTATTTTAACTGTGCATTTGATTTCATTTAAGAAGAAAGCTGTTAAGAAAATACAGAGTAAGTAACATTTTAAAGATATATGAATTGTTCCTACATCGATAATTGCTTATGTTATTTGTGCAAAAATATGTGTTTGACAACGCACAATTATCTCTTTCTATCAATAAAGTAAAATTTTCATTCACAATTTACCTAATATAAATGTTATCTAATCCTCAAATTGTATAAAATATTAATTTGAGAGCCTGAGTTATATTAATGTAAGTCCTTAGATTATTTTCAAAATAACATTGGTTTGCAGATAGTTAAGCAATTTTAACATTTATCAACAAATATCCCCAAAACAAAATAGTATTATTTCAATTTTATATTTATATTTTATACTTATGAAAATAAGACTAAGAAAGTTATGATTACATCAGTTATAATAATTGCTTAAAATTTTTAGGTAAATGTTCAAAAAATTCACATGTGAAAAAAAATGATAAGCCAGCAACGACAAACCACTATGGCAGTTTCTACTTGCGCCTGGGTGCTTCTTGTAAGCATATAAAACTACATTCTATCAGGGAATATTTTTTGAAAAACTATAGAATAAAATTTTATTTTTTTCTGTTACAGCTTTCGGGATCGGAAGCATGGTTTATTCAGGCCTAGAGTTGGGAGAGCACTTCCTAGTCGCTGGAACTGCGTGCAACAATATTATAATCAGCGCTATTAAACCGGTACTCAGAATGGCCTTCGCCTTACTCCAAATACATTTTATATTCCTCAGCGATATAGTGAGTATAGGTTCATCATAATGCTCTTTTTTCTTTTATTGTTTACTTAAATAAATAAATTTCCTGATTTGATCTTGAACGGTATCCTTGTTCTATAATTTGGAGTCCATGGATTCTTTTCAATATTATCCTTTAAATTTTAATAACTTTTTATAAATTTGGGAGGTTAGCTGTCTCTATACCAAACATGATGACTGGTTTGACTACTGAATTTTAATGCTTGGTTTTGGTGTTGATGGGCAGATTTTACTTACTATTTATAAATATTTATAAGTACACTACGCTTTATTTTATATATTATTATTATTATATATTTTTTGCAGAATGTAAAGAAGGCTCGATTTCCATCAATAACAAGAATGTGCTTGGGCCATATGTTAGCTACCAATATTGCCGAGTGGCTCTCCGTTGTAGTTGAAGAGACTAAACACGAAATTCATCATCTCCATTCTATTGACAAACACCACAATGGTTTGAATTGTATTTTTTTATTATAATACTTTTTAATTGAGCATTTTAATTTCTTTCTTAATTTTTTTTATCTTCAAAAATATATGATATATTAAATAGTTTCTTGGATTTCATGCATCTAAAGAGGTGTCAGATCCTTGTATTCTCTCTCAAGTTTTATGATAGTGTATTTTATATGACTAGTGTCCGTCCAGTGGTCGAAATTCGACCATATCCATTAAAAATTTGAGGAAAACATATAATTAAATAAATAAACAGTAAATCATGATTCAAAAATCCTCATTTATTAATACAAACAAAGTTTGAATTTCGATTAAAAATCGAGCTTAAGCCACTTAAAATTATTTATAAGTAATACAAAATAGATTTATTCAAAAATATTTAAATTAGCGATTTCAATTCACTTTAAATCCATTTTTAATCAGAACTTCTCAGTAAAAAATGTTATTTTTGAATATTCTGTAATTGTTTGCAAAAGAAAAAGTACTAAATGTTTAAAATGATATATCTCTGCAACAAATAGTCTGATTTCGATTTTTTTTCTTATTTTGTAGAAAATTCAGGAAGCTTTCAAATAAATATTGGTATTATCCATAAAAAAATGTGTCCTTGAGTTATTCACAAATAAAATACTGAATTCATCATAAAAATGTATGCAGCTTGTTTTCGGGAAAGTATGTTATATACATAAATTATAAATGTTTCAAGGGGAAGACTTTAGCCAAGTTTCATTAAAATTGTTAAAGCCGTATTGGCGCTACAGTCTAAAGCGAATCACGTTTTTCGGCCGCCATTTCGAAAGGAAAAGCCTGATGATAATGAAACGTATACAAAAACACTTCTAAATATTATTGTGACGTTGTGTCAAAATTTAAAAGAAATCGGTGAAGAACTTTCACACATAAGCCATTTTGAACAAACTACCATTTATATTTTTATTTACATACTATTTAATATTTTTATTTATTGATAACATTGAAACTCGTCAATATCTATTAAACAAAAAAAGAAGGAAGAAAATCGGTTGAATAATAGAGGAGTAAAAGGGGCTGAACCGATTTGTGTTTGCCTATTTATATAATAATTATGGTTTAAATTTATTATTTCCAGATGATGTAAATCATTACAACACTCAGAACTGTACTAATCCTACTTCAGGGGTTCTATTAAGTGGAGCTACGGCTTATCTTTTCCCATGTGCCATCGAATACAGGTAAATATAACAATATACTTGAAATAATATGTATGTTAAAGAGCAATATGTACTTTAAAGAATCATGAACTCCTTTCTATAGCACTTTGGGGGTACTCTCACGTGTTCCATCATTGCAGCAAGTTAGAATTCTTTTCCTTCATCAATATACAATTCATTGATTCTTACCTATGCCAAACCATCAATTCCTATCACCTTTTCTACATCTACAATCTCTGACAATTTTGAATCCTCACACAAAACTCACAGCAAACAAGAACCAATTTGCCTTACACTTTTATCTCCAGAGAAATATAACATTCGAGCATTCATTTCCTGCCTGGTTCAACTCCTTTCCTACTAATATCTGCCATGCTTCTCTCTTATGTTCATTAAAATCACTCCTTTTATAACACCTCACATTCCAAATAGATGTTCTTGAATCATGAAACTTTAATGTCAGTTTCAACAATATTAGAAGTATGTTATTGCTTTTAATGTTTAAGATTTAATCTAGGAAATTATTTCACTATTGTTATTCTCTCTTTTTGATTGTTTCCTTATAATTATATATTTTCAAGAGATAGCTCATTTTTTATTAATTTAGGCTGTCCGAGCAATGTTTGTCATAAAATCATAAAGATTGTGATATTTACAAGTATATGCTTAATTGTCACAGCCTATGTTTAAGTGATAGACCAACGAGGAAGATGAGAATCATTTCTTTTACGCTTGACAAGAGTCAAACTACTCATATGGTTTTTTTTTGTTGTGGCATGGTTAACGACCTGTAAGTGGACTGCCTTAGTCTTTGGTTGGATATACTTTATTTTATACCTTATCATTCATAATGGATCTCGTTCGTCTCACATTTTTTTTTAGCATTAATTATAAATGCTAAACTTTTATGAGCTATAGTACAAAATTGATATTTAATTATTTTATCTTCCACTGTACAAAGGTTAACGAGAGTCATATGAAACAATCTTCCATGCTAGACTGACCTATATTATATACATATATATTTTTTGTCTTGAAGTAATAACAAATTAAAAGAATAAAATAAAACATACTTTTTCGTCCTATTTTCTTATTACTTTTATCTCTTTTGAAATCATTTGAAAACCATAGGAGGAGAAAATATGAAATTTATTTTCAATATATATAATATAGTTAAAATAGAAGAAAGAAAAAACTATAACCCTATTTAGTCAAACGTGCAAAAGAATGGTTCGAATGAAAAATAACTATGGCAGGAAAGAACAGCCTATCTCAAACTATTAATTTTGTTTTCTCTCTTTCTACAGTGGTTTTCATTTGTTCTCTCAATATAAAGGGAAATATATTTTATCAATTGAACCAGAAATATCTTTAATAGTTGAATATATTTAATTTTGTTTTTAGCTTAATATGTGCCGTTACTTTAATAGAAATGTGGAAGGATGTTCATATCGGTCCACCAATTAAAACCGAAGAGAAACCTCAAAAGGAAATTTTTCCAAAACGTAAGTTAAATTTTATTTATTCTTTTTTTTTTTTTTTTTATATTGTTTAACATGACTATAATAATTTGTAGCATAGTAGAAAACAAATAATACTAATAATATTTGACATTGGTATTTTTAATGAATTATTCTTGATTGATTTTTAAGCTAAAACAAAGTTTAGAAACTTATATCACAAGTGGTAAATTGAAAGTAACTGGCATAAATTTTCCACACATTTAGAAAAGAAACTAGCTGATCTTAGAGGCCATGGCAAATCGTCAATTAATTTTAAAAAATGAAACAGGATTTTACAACTGATATTGAAGTAGTTTAAAATTAACATTTAAAAAATGATTTGGTACACATATTAATTCCTTGCAGGGCCAAGCCTTTACTCAGCTTAATATTAAAAATATTTATAGAAATTGGTATTAGAGGCAGTGATTTTCAAAAGTCCAACTGAATTTTGAAATTTCCATGGTAAAGTATGGATTAAATGCTTAAAATTTAAAAATTTATATTGTATAAATCAAATTTTTCACTGTGCACATTTACATAAAGTGACTGTTGCACAAGGTAAAGAAGAAACTGTCTTAGTAGACAAATAAAACACATATTTTCATTATTAAATATAAATCAATGAAAACTCATCAAAAGTCAGAAAATAGATGCTGGGATGTAATTGGAAACATTCTATCCCACAGCCTTTTGTCCCTAAAATGCAGGTAAAGAACAAAATAACCCGTACATATTTTGCCAATTCAGGCATCATAAGGACTGAAAACAAGACAAGATAACTCCATGGCAAGAAAACTCTTACTCCTTAAATATAAATAAAAAAAACTTCAACATTTTATTTTTTCAAGCAAAAAGGATTAATTTTTTTTTTCCAACGTACGTCTTTAATAAAAACAACTTAGTAACTAAATGAGAAACATATCAATCAGTGAAACTCATCTAAGACAAGTATTGTAATTTCTTTATGAAAACATTGGATACAGACAGCTTGCATATAAACAATTGATGAGTATAGAAACTTTTGCTAAGAACCACAAATTTCTCTTTATTTATAGTATAAAGTTACTATTGCACAGTTCATTCATAAGAGTCTGATAGATAAGGGTTTGAACCAAGTACCCACTGCTGCCTCAATGTTTATAAAAAATGTAAATAGCGCGTTTTACAGATCATGCATTGTATGAGTAATTATAAATATACATATTTAAATACATTTTACTTTTCAGAAGAAAATAAACAGTATGCTGTGGATTGCACAAATTCTGAAAATGGACTGGTTGGCGGATTGCTTATTAATGTATATACGCTAATAAGTTTATTGGTGTTTTTTGCTTTACACGAAAAACGACAGGATGCAGCCTATTGGTGCCTTACAGTTTGTGATACAATTCTTAATGCCTCGTCCCTTTTAGCTATTGCCATTGCATCTTTTGAGATGCGGAATATGGCTTACTGTGTACATAGATTCAGTGAGTATTATCGGCTTAAATATTTTTGTTTTTACTAAATTTATTTATTATAAAAAAATATTGTTTTACATTTATTTAAAAAACATATTGATAAATTAAGGCAAAAAAAGTCAGTTTGTCCCAAAACTTAGAAACAATTCAAAATTCATAGTAATTGTCATTTAGGACTAGAATATTTTCTAAATAAATCTAATCTTTAGAAAAAGAAGATAAAAGGTGATAAAGAGATAAAAACAGTTAGTTACTCACAGTTTATCGAACTAATTATTTCTAAGAAATAAATAAAATATATTTTAGATATGCATAGATAATGTTAAAATTATCCTTAGGCTAAAAATAAAAAGGATGAATATATTGATTTTAATATAAAAACAATATTTTTAGATACTAAAGGTTCATTGAAGTTGGGACTTGATATTTCCCTGCTTTTGAAGGCACAGTTTGGAGTGTATTTGTATGCAGTTTTTTCTGCCATTGCATGCTATTTCACTCCAGAAGCATCAATATGGCCTGATTTATTTACAATTACCCAGACTTCGATTCAAACCTTGTTTATATTAGACAGTTGGTGGAAAAGGTTAGTACTTTTATCTTAAGTAATTATATTATATCATCGATATGTTACAGAAAGTCACTTAATACATTTTTAATGGTGTATACTTTTTTTTTTTTTTTTTATGAATTTTAACCTTATTTATAGATAAAAAAAAAGAAAAGAAATGGCTCTTGAAAGAGGCCATGAGTATAAAACCAAAACTCACCATCTTTTCATTCACTTCAAAGTAGCATAATTCGTGAAGAGCTGTACACTGTCCTCAGAGAATTTAACATACCTGAAAAACTTATATGCTTCATAAAGCTTACCACGAAGGATGTGAGATGTATGGTTAGAGTAAATGGCAACAGATCCGAGGAATTTTGTGCAAATAAAGGGCTTCAACAAGGAGATGTGCTAGCCTGTATGCTATTTAACCTAGCACTTGAGAAGCCCATAAAGGATGCTGGTTTACGCAAACGACAAGAAAACATATTTACCAGGCTTATCCAACTGTTAGTCTAAGCTGATGATATGGACATTGTGGGACGCTCTCTGCAGGATGTGACTGGTGCTTTTCTGGCACTGGCTGGTCCTACCAGCAGACTTGGACTGGAAGTTAATGAGTCCAAAACAAAAAATATGGTAGCAGATGAAAACCCAATGTCAGGCGAGACATTCATTACTGGCCTTCATAAATTTGAGAAGGTTTCGGAATTTACTTATCTAGGATCTGAGGTCACTCGAGATAATAACCATGATATAGAGATCAGAAGAAGAATAACAGCAGTCAACAAATGCTACTTTGGGTTAAGCAAACAGCTAAGGCGGATACTTTCCAGACAGATCATGCTCGACCTCTATAAGACATTGGTGCGTCCCGTACTTCTTAATGTATCGGAATGTTGGACAACTTCGAAGACTACTGAAAAGGAACTCCTTATTTTTGAAAGAAAAGTTCTCTGCCATGTTTTTGATGGAGTGAAAGTTGGAAAGGAGTGGAAGTGCTGTACGAATCAGGACCTGTACAATGCTTTAGGGGAAGCTGATATATAAGGCCTATCGGCTTGAAATAAATGTGATGTTATCAGCTTTTATCATAAAATTTGAATATACATGGACAAAAAACCTTTTTTACATCATAAACAGTTACATTACTAAACAGTAATAGTTTTTCTGATTTAATGGAGAGAAAATTCATTAAAGTATTAAGTGATTTAATGTAATAAAGTTATATTTAATGCCTTTATGCAATAAACCCACATCATACATTTAGGTCATTTATTTATGTAATGAAGACAAATATTTTCTTGAAGACCTAATAGTCTCATTAAAAGCAAGAATTGGTACTCATTATTACAAGTTTTTTTCTTGAATAAAGTGATTTTGTTTTTTTTAATCTATAGCTGCATACTCAATTTTTATCTGATGAAACAATAAAATGTAGATGATTAAAAAAAAAAAATGGTTTGAAAACACATTTAGTTTAAAAAAAAATATTTTATACATATCTACCAAAGTCCTGAGAGCAAAGTTAATTGTTTATCTTCCTTTTTAAAGTCAAACTAAATAATTAAATTTATTATTACAGATGCTTAACACCAAGAGAACAAGAAAAGAAGCCGGGAAGGCAGAGCTTGACATATTTACGCTTGGTAAACATAGCGATGTGGACTACTACCATAACGGAGAGGAATAGAGCCGAACTGAGGCCTCTACAACTCGCGTTCTACGGGAAATGGCCATGGACAATAATTACTCATGCTTCCATGCCACTCGTTGTTTTTTATCGTTTTCATTCAACGATTTGTTTCTTTGAAGTATGGCGTAATGCTTACAAAGGAATACATACGATCCCAGACACAGAATTAATGTTTTGATACTCATATAATAATTCTTTTAATTTATTAATTAAATTATTGATTTTTATACTTATTCTTATTTTACTCCTTTTTTTTTATCCCATTTTCCTAAATTTATGTTTAATGATCCATCATTAATATCATTTGTCATAGAGTCACAAATAAAATATTTTTTAATGATTAAATTTTATAGATGTGTACAATCTACACTATTCATAGTATATATTTTAGATTCACTTTTTTAGCTCTCTGGAGCAATGGATTTTGATGATTGCGCTATCAAACAAAAGGGAATTTCATGGAGAAATGATGAATCCTAATTTAAAAACTTAAAACCATACTACAATTAGGTTATTAAAAGTAATTCAACTTAAATTTTATGTGCATTTTACATCTTTTTAATTTAATTTAATTTATATTATTCACAACCAGCAGATATAATTATAAATAATGAAGAGTTGGTCGAGGTAAGCAGTCACAAGTAAAAATAAATAAATTATATTTATATTCCCAATACATTTTCTTGCTAATTTCATTATGTTGTTTCCGATATTTTATTATTATTTATTTCATAAGTTTCTAATTCTGTAACCATTATTACTCATTTCATAGTTGCTTACTGTTACCGTTATTTCTTTTGTTGTTTTTAAATACATTGTAGATCTTTTGCCATCTGAACCATCATCTCCGTCTTTTCCTATCTTAGGCTATTTCCTACCAGTTTTCTGCATGCAGATCTGCTACATCTTTGTTAATTCAATCTGATTTTTGGCCTGATACATTTCTTGCAACTATTGAGGCACCCATTGTTGTGTAGAGGTTTTCTGTTGATTGCTCCAAGCTATATGCCCATCTTACCCACCTTGCCTTTATATTATGAGATACTGATTAATCAATTTCTGTAAGCAGTTCTCTGTTCTATTGGTCCTTCTCCTCCATAGGGTAGGATTCTGATTCCAGTTCACTATGGTTATGGCGCAAAGGATTTTCTTCTTAAGGAATTTCAGATGCATAAACAGACATTTATAATTACAATTTAACACAGGTGAAACTGTGAAGCGCAGCGAGTAATCTATAAAACATAGTTTATTTTTCAAATCAGAATTCATAAATAGGTATTTTCTACACTGGATTTTCCCTTTCATGGCTAGAAAAGAGAAAATTAAGTAAGGTTCAACAGAGGGAAAATTCATATCAGTAAGAAAAATAAATAAACACATTACAAAATCACATTTTATTATATTAACATTTATAACATAATCAGTACATATATTAATTCGTGTTCAGTGCTAAAACATGTACTGTTGTAAAACCACTTAGAAATATGACCTATGATTTTGAAAAAATACCAAACATTCTATGATCACATTTTTATTTCTAAGTATAATGGCTCCAATGATTCAGAAACCTGATTTCACCGCAAGGATTTTTTATTTATTTTTAAATAGTAAAATATTTTCAAACCCTTTGTTACTTAAAAATGACAAATGAACAATTGTTAATCAACTTGGGTATGAGAATCAGTTTCTGAAACATCAGAATTATTTCTCAATTTACATGAAAATCGCTCTAACATATAACGCATATATGTCTATGAAGGATTGCCGCTAACATACGCCTATAAATAAAATTAAAATGGTCCCTTTGTTAATATCATTTTATTTAAAAACCGATAACTACAATTTTGAGCAAATTCATTCATGTTCCATCAAAAAAATAAAATAAATAATTGAAATAATATATGTAATACAGCAGGATAAAAATAATCTGAACTGTATTGAATTAGTTTCTGAACACTTCATTATTAAACAATGGACATACATGTCTACTTGAACTTATTACCTCAGTTTCAGCTCAAATACAATTTTGATGAGATTGTATTTTATAACCGATATATTGATAGCTTTAATTGTAAAAAAAAATCATTTTTCAACAAAAGCCCAAGGCACGACATTCCTTTTTTGATCCGCCATGGATTTTTATTGTGAAATGAAAAAAAAAAAAATTTGTGTTGCTTATAAACCATTATTAAACAAAAAATTGTTTGGTTTCTTATTTAATATCTACAATTATATTGTTTTTGAAGGGACCACAAATATACATGAATGATGAAAATTTATAATATTTATATCGATAGGTTTGACCAAACAAATACATACAAACATATGCAGACTATCTAAGGGATCTATGGAGGAGAAAGGAAGGCTTTTAGGCTGAAGTGTCCCCAAAATCGAAAAATATAACCATGTCTTATGAAAAAAATTATTTCTAAAAGTATTATTGTTTGTTTAATTACATTTAATAGGATTTCAAGAATCACTTAAACATCATTTCATAGTTTCTTTATTTTTCTTCCAAAGTAATTATCGTTATATATATTAAAAAAGTGCTTTCGGACTGAAGCCTCCCCCCCATTCCAAAATTAAATCCTGGATCCGCTAATGCACATGCATATATGTATATGATGTCTGTGAAATAATCTAAAAATTTTTCTAAGGAACATAATATTGATCGGACAAATTAAGTACATTTTCAATAATATGTCTGAAAATATGACAAACAATCCAAAATGAGTTCAGATTATTGATGTCCTACTGTAATATTTCAAAATAATATGAGATATTGAGAATAAAATGAGGTCTCTGAATGGCAGTTTATGATAAAATGAAAATTATTCTTTCTTCTTCTTCTCTCACTATCTCCTTTGTGCTGCTAAGTATGGAGTAAGATTATTCCAAATGATTTTAATTATTTGTGAATGAAATTTCCAAACATAACTAAGGAAATAAATAAAGAAATTGGTCCTTCATAATAACAACTGGTCCACTCTATCATATTCAAAGATCTAGATGCTCTTGGTATCAAAACTAACAACTTTCTTAAATGGATTCTAAAAACCTCTATTTTATACCCTAATCCAACTATATTTAAAACTTTCATTTCACTTTCTTAAATTAAGTTTGATAATTCAAAAATACGGCAATATTCATATCAAAGTACATCAACTTAGAAACAGCCTTCACAGACATATATAACTGCCATTAAGACTAACAATATGGCGTCTGGTTTATCAGGTACTTAACTTATAAATATAAAAAAAAAGAGAATTATTTTCTATACAGATTTTTTCCAAGCATAACATAATTATTAACAATTTTTACAACAAAGAATTATTGTTTCATTTCTGTACAAGTTAACCTTGACTTTATGATAAATAATAGTTACAAATAAAACTAATTTATTCCTATCATATTATAACCAAAATCGAAAAAAGAAAGAAAGTTATTTGTAAATGAGATAGTAAATCATGGAATTGGTGAGTTTTGAAAAATTATCAACAATCAACAATTAAATCCTAAACTTGAAATACTTTAAAAGAATTATTTCCAATCTTTATATTTAATATTCTTTATATTAACCTAAAGACGGGTAATAAATAAAAAGGAATTGTTATTTATCAAATATTCATTGTAAATAAGAATGACCACGGACTAAAATTTTTTTTGTTCATCGAAAAATTCTCTTTGAAATGTTATATTTAATAAAACAAAACAAAAGAAAAGATGAAATCTAAAAATAATATACCGCTACTGTTACAATAAAAGGTTGGATGTGAAAATTGAGTTGTTTTTACTATAGATTATAAAAACTGATTATTTCTTTATGATTTACTAGTATGACTTCATGTTTTATTTTCCTCTACTATTTTCCATAGCTGCTGACTACAAAATATCACCTTTAGCACAAATAGAATAATAATGTAAAATCGTAACATATGACCTCTTGCACTAACAGTAGCGATAGTCATTATGTATAAAATGAAAATATATACTAAGTCCCCAGAAAAATAAATTATCAATAAAAGATTAATTGGGGTTTGATTTGGAGAGAAAAAGTGGTGTGAATCGGAAGAGGGAGGATATGTTATAAATATTATACTATAAAAATTTAAGTTTTTATTTGCAACAAAATTTATTTTTAAATTTCATTAGAATAAAAAGGTTAAAAAAAGCTTATGATGATAAAAATATTTAAGAAATGAAAGCATCATTACATTCATTGGGAAAAAAAAAACTTGTTTTAAAAATAAACTTTTTCACACTAATTTTTTAAATATTTAATAATAGCACCATCGGATTCATTGGGAGTTTTTTTTTTAAATAGGAATTCATACTTATCTCGATTTCCAAAAAAAAAATCAATTAGGGTTCACTTTAGAAATGAATGATTAATTTTTATTTTATTTTAATTTAATTCAATAACAACTGAATGATTATGAATTTGTCAAACAAGAAATAAACAATAAAATAATTGTAGCATTGATAGACATGTATGTATGTCTATCAATTTTTTGGAGGGACTTAGCATATAATTTCATATAATAGTTAAAATAAATCCAAATTAGATCATTGAAACAAAAGAGAATAAAGCCTACCACCGAATAGTTGCCTCGAAACCTTTCAACAAAAATTTAGAAGACCAAAAAAAAGTTTAAAGATTAATACAGGAACTTAATTGTTATAACAAATAATCATGCAAGGATTTTCTCAGAAGATATCTATTGAGTTGTCCATTTTTCTCAATAAAATATTTTTAAAATTTTTCACGTACTACTATGATTTGAAATATTTAAAAAAATCATAAATTTGAACCAAGACAAGCCATTTTTTGTGTCTTACATGGCTTTACTTAAAATATATTATAGTTTTAAAATTATTTCAACACTTATGATCAAGAAGTAATCTTGAACTCATGGATATAGATGATAGGATGTGTTCAAGGGTGTAAGTGTATCTCAAATCAACACTTGAGAAATGATAACTTATGACACTTAACACCTCATCGTTCTTATAGAATATATTAATGCATAAGATATAACTGGTTACCCTGGTTCAAAAATGACACATACATTACAAATCATTCCTGCTGTTTTATTAAGTAGAATTTTTAAAAGGTATAAAATGGAAACTAAAGACTTTATATCTTTATCCTACCTTATTTCAAAAACCATCAAAACTAATGGAAATCCACAGAAAATTTCAAGGGAGTTTGATGCATATTTATGTTTTTAATTTTGGAAATAATAGTTGTACATTGAAAGAAGAAAATCTTAATTGAATGAAGTTCTGTCACATATCAATTAACGAAACAGTATATAAAACAAGTGGATATATTTTTATTCAATAAAAGTGGTTACCTACTTTTAAGCATATATGAGAAAACTAAATTTCTTTTTTATTAAACATTAAGTTCCTTCCATACACCATGGAAATCTAATTAAAGTTTTTTCAAAACTTTTGAGCCTGTTATTAAAAAAGCTTCTATTTAGTCGCAGTTTCAGCAGGTTGTTAATATGTGTCAACATTCTGGAAACAAAACGATGACATGACAAGTCTGTTTGATGGAAATTGCGGCATTTCGGTTTCCAGTCTTTACAAACTACTTTTATATCTATTGAACAAACAATGATCTGTGCAAAAATGGAAATGCTCGATGACGACGATGTTCTAACAATTATTAAATGTGTTATTGTCAATATTATTTTAATTATACTACTCAACGATGAATTATCGTCTATAACAAATATTTATTTCAACAATATACATTAATTTTTATTACAAATTACAAAAAACGATTAATTTTACAAAAGTGCTTGTTGCAAAGATTGTGAAACAAAGCATTGTATCAACTTTTATTTTTTTTTTAATAAAAAGTTTACTTTTCACTGGCATTATTCAGGGGAACAATAAGTGATCGGTAATTTAAATATATATGTGAAGATTTGTGTAGTACACGACCTACTTAAACAAGACTGTGTGCTCATCTGAAGTATATGCTTTTGAAAGTGAGAATTATTGAATCTATGAAATCACTAAAACCATTAGAAATAATTAAGATAAGTAGCTGTGATTATTTGAAGTTTTAATTAAATTTTTTTAAAAGATTTCTGTCAATCATTGCAACTGCAATAAAGAGTTTGGTGGGTCACTCATGACCACCAAAACTTTAGAAATTCAAACAAAAAAATTGAGATAATCTCTCACTTCTCTCCCAAAAAAACAGTAAAATTTATTGTAAACATGCGAGATAATCTTCGTCAGCGTAACAAATACACCATTTTGTATTATTAGCTTCAATTCCAATACCACAGATTTAATTGAAGAAACAATTATAGTATCAGTGAAGTTATAGCAACCAATTGTTTTCAAAACGAGGCTGAAAATTTCTAGAATCCTTCAGGTGGGACAACAAAGGCCACCACGAAGTTCCGCCACGTATCTCCACCTCTAGTTAGTTCGTTATGATTCTTGCTCAGTGTGTGTCCTAGTCATCTATATTACCGACCTATATCAGGATTTGATTAATTCACGACCCCAGTTCAGCATTGGAGATTGTTTCAGGCCACCTACTTGTTAACTTTTTAAGTCTTACAGGGATATAGAAGAACTGACATAATGTTACTATTGAAAATACGAAGCTTGTTCTCCCTCAAGATTTCCACAACAGCCAAAGCTACTCTTTGCTGCTAACCCTTTCAATAATTTGATCTTTTATAAGAAAATTTTCTTGAATCCTACTGTTCATTCGCATATATTTCATTTTTTAAAAAATTTCATGATCTATCAAAAAAAAAAAAAGTTTAAAAAAAAATTCAGACAGACAGTTAAGTTTTCAAGACTCTATGCTTGTCTTCTTACACAGAAGTAATGAGAAAGAAATTCAAAATGTAACAACATTAATTCACTACTTTTAAATTTCATATTACACTACAACAGTAATTCTTTTCCTTAAAAAAAAAAAAAAATTAAATTTCAAGATTAACTTATATATAGATTTCAGAATTTCCACTTTATTTAGACGTATACTAAAACCACCAAAAATACTCAGTGATACTATTTAACAATAATTAAAAATCAATATTGTAAATATTTCCCGTTGCCTAAAGCTACTTAATCAAAAATTTTATCTAATAATCTGAGGTAATTTCATAGATTCCGAAAGTTTAAATGTTAGTAAAATAGCTATTGTAATGAAAAAGCAAATAAATGCTTTTGTTTTGTTCTTGTTTAAAACAAGCTTATAAGTAATTTTCAAGAACTTATGAAACAAGAAATCGATACAATTTATTTTATATTTATTTCTATGTGAAATGTTCACTTACTTTACATGAAACACAAGTAAACACTTGTTTTTCTTTTCTAATTAAAACAAGATTACACAAGTTTAAAATTAATGTTTGTCACAAGTTGCTTCATTTCCAGATGACTGGTAATATAATTCACTAACAGAGCCAAGTCATCATAACAATAAAGAATGAAAATCAGCTGTTTCCAGGTACTTAGGATGTAGTTATAATATTATGGTAATAATACAAAAAAGAAAATTATTTCAAGGAAATGGCACTTTGATTGTACACAACCCACAAATCATTATTTGATCCTGAGTAAATACAAAACTTGGAAAAAATATTTTAGTTCTATAAACAGTTATTCCAGTGATGTTATAATTTTTAATTTGATGAGTGATGTATCTTTTGATTACGTCAGTTATACAAAAAAGAGAAGAAAAAAATGAGACAATTTTTTTTTTTACGAAATCCATAAAAAAATCTTAAATTAAGAGTCTATATACAAGTGGAATTACTTCAATTATTTTTATTACGTCAGCTACTGAAAAATATTATTCCATAAATGTTAAAAATATATCACAAATTATCCATTTAAGTGCTACCTAAATAAAAACTTAAAATTAAAAAATATATTTATAATAACTGAATAAGATTATATTAATATAACAATAAAAACAGATATCGGTTATCACAAAATTTCAGGCAAAGTTACACGACAAAAATATAATCATGTGATTCTTGTATCGGACGATTTCACAAACTAATAAATACACATTCGAAAAGACTAAACTCGTGTGTTACAATTAACTAACAATGTATACATTACTCTACAACAATAATAAATGAACACATGAAACACACTTGATTTGTACAAATGAATGGAAACTAAACATCCATCTCAAGGAACGAACAAAGGACAAAATAATGTATAAAAAATTAATGTATAACCAATTTAAAACAAAAGCATAAAAATAGTCAACTATTGATGACTTAGATTTCATGGGAATGATGAATCACACTACAGTTGAAAATACTTTGTATAATAGATGTCAGTTTTAAGGCATTTTTAGACTTAATGATAATATGTTTAATTGAGATACAGGAGGCTTTGTTGAAGAAAATTTGAGACACAGAGGATAATCTTGAATATTTTTCCAAAGAGGTAACCTATGATTAATATTTTTAACAACTCTGATATAGAGGGCAGGGTACCGAGCAGGCTAATGCGTTGTCTGGGCAACCTGATAACTGAAGATTATGAATTCAAATTCTGGTGCCGTGGGAACTTTTAACTCTGACATAATTCCCTGCCTTCGCCTCTATTAATTATTTTTATTTAATGGCGTTACAACCCACAAGGAAACAGGGCCTTCTGTAATGATTTCCGCCAGTCTTTTTTGTGCCGCTTCTCTTCAGTTTCTTGTTCCCAGGATGGAGAGGGCGTCCGATGTCACACCATCCTGCCAGCGCAGCCTTGGACGTCCAACTCTTCTTTTGGCTTCGATTTTCTCATCTAGGATCTTTCGAGTTGGCTCCTCTGTGGTCATCCTAGCCACACAACCAGCCCACTAAAATTAAAAAAGTGGGCCGTCCCACTTTTATAAAACGGATGATGTCCCTATCTTTGTACATGTTCATTATTTCGTGGTTTGTTCACCTTCTTATTCTCTGGACCATAGATTGGTCCCAAAATCCTCCTGAGCACCTTCATTTCGAAGCGGCGCAAGTCTTCCTCCAATGCCCTAGTCAGCGTCCACGCCTCTATACCATAGGTGAGAACAGGCCTAATTAGAGTTTTGTACAGTCACAGCTTTGGTGTTTGGGAGATAACCCTGCTTTTAAGCTGCGGGACTAGTCCAAAGTAACATCTGTTGGCTGCCTGTATTCTGCATTGCACTTCTGTCCCCACTGCATTGTCGCTAGTAAATAGAGATCCCAGGTATATAAATTCGTTCACAGTATCGAATGTGCATCTTTGAACTTGGATGCATTCGGGTACTTTTCTTATAGCATTAGTGCTCATGTATTTAGTCTTGGACTGATTAACTTGCAGTATAAATCGTACAGCTATTGTCTCAAGGCTTACGAAGGCTTCGCTCATGGCCGTAGAAGTTCTAACTATGATGTCGATATAATCAGCGTATCCAGCGATTGAAAATAGTTCCAACCTGAATTTCTGACTGCCTAATGGCTCCTTCTAGGGCTAAAGTAAACAGTAGGCAAGCCAGCCCATCTCCCTGCCTTAAGCCCTTGCAGGTGGTGAAAGCATCCGATAACTCCCCCTCCACTCTCACAAAGTTCTGGACAGACTCCATTGTTCGACGAATCAAACATACCAGTCCTCTAGGGACACCCATTTCCAACATCACCCTGAACAGTTCCTCTCTCAGTAAACTGTCATACGCAGCCCAGAAATCGATGAAGAGGTGGTGGGTTTGAATATTCTCTGCCTTCTCCTCTGGCCCGAAAAAAACTCCTAGTAGCCTAAAAGTGCATTTGGATGTTTCACAAACTATGCGAAACCAACAGCAGATGGAAACCATCAAAAACAATGAAGAAAACACTAGCATAGAGAAACAACCATTTCATTATTTGTTTTTCCCATATTTTGTGAAATGTTGAAAAGCACTTTAAAGGTGAGGGAGGAGAAAAAAAAAAAAAAAAACGGATTGATATCTAATGCTTTGAGTTTCAGAGATAGTATGTTCCCACAACTCAAGCTTTAAATTTTTCTATTGATTAAATGATGGATTCTTCAAATAATAGGAAAGAAAAGTAAGTTATCAACAGTTGATTGTACATAGAAAAAGATGAAAACAAAGAAAAAAAATGTAGCTGGCCAATTCATTTCTGTATTTAGTTTTTTGTTCTATATCCCAATATAGCAAATATGTGATAGAAAGCTGTAGATAAAATTACATTTCCACCCTAAGGAGTTCATATCCTAAGAGGGTATGTAAAACCAATTTAATAATCAATAAAAGGGGACAAAAATGTATTAATTATATCCACAACAAAAACTATTTAATGTTCATTTTTTAAAAAAATGAATCGATGGACCAGCTATAAGAAAAAAAAATGGAAACACGGATAATGACTTAACGCATTATTAAATTTTTATAGGGCTTTAATATTAAAAAACTTAACGTAATCAAGGTGTATATCAACTTACAGATTATTACTGAATATCTGAGCCAAGTTCGGTAACATCCGTACCCAGATTTCCAAGCGTTACATCACAGTCCAAGTCATCGAAGAAACTTGTTGAGGGAACATTCGACGATTGTAGAGACCTAGCATAGGTCGGCGTGTTTGGATAAGAGCGGGAGCGAGTTTCCATTTCACTTATTATAGAAAATATCGCATTGAGATTGTCATTGTTCATACCAGAATCGATAAGCAACGATTCTGATGATTCGTCTATTATTAATAAGTTGGACGAATCAGTATCAATGCCAAAATCTATAGTTTCGCTCGGAACTGGAGTGTCTTGTGGAAGAGACATCGGATTGCAAGAAGGCACGGATTGCGACCGCTCTTCTTGTTTGACAGGAACTGGTGCCTTCTTCTGACCTTTCCCAACAGGTGAGTTTACGGAACTAGACCTGCAAATGATAACAAAGAGACTTACATATGTGAAACTAGGTTTAAATAAACATCAAGTATAATTTATTTTTGTCGGCATATAATTAATTGCTAGTATTAATAAATAATATGCATTGGACGGGCAAAGGAATAGAGGATTCAATTACTATAGTAAAGCATTGGTTGATCAGATATAAATTATCCTAACTCGTAAACAGAAAGATTCTCTACAACTTTTGTTCTATATTTATCTTATACCCAATATCATTTCAAATATTAAATTTTAATTAAAATAGACAATACAATTTTATATGTTGCTTTAGGGATTTAAGTTTCTTTGTAAGAACCGTCAAAAAAAAAAAAAAAAAAAATATATTAAAAAAAACAAAAAACAGCAACAATCAACAAGGCAAATTCTTTACCTGTGAAGAACACGCTGTGGTTGTACGAAAGGTGAAACAGGCGAGATAGGTACAAAGCTAAATTTTTTCGGACTTTCAGGTACTGTCTCAAATGAAACCCGCCTCCTAACTTGGCTTTTGTCTTCCTTTCTTTCAAGAAGTAATCTTAACTGAGACACTTTAGGTTCATCAGCGCTGGTCTGAAAATACCTATAAAATAAAACAGGAATTAGATAGTAGTTGTATGTGGTTGTACAAAATCATTTGGTTGTTCTTACATTTTATTTTTTTTAATAATTTAGAAAACCCCATTGTCGGGGCATTATTTTATCTTTATTACTTTTATTATCTTTCCAGTCAGCGTTTAACAATAGTTTTTAGCAAAATAATTTGTACAAATATTTTTGTCTATTATGTTTAATGGAATATTGTAATCAACCAATGAAAATCTATTAATTCCTTCCTTACATTATAAATAGGAACTATTTATTTCCATACTGTTTTGCTATTTCTTCACTAAAAAAAATTGTCTGTGAATTATTCGTACGGGCCAACTAGTAATTACTATTACTATATATTACATATATAGGTAAGTGAAAGTAAAAAAAAAAGTTGACATAAATAATTTACCTCAAAAGCTCTTCTTCTTGTTCAAGCGAATTACCATTTTCAAGGAAAGGTTGTTCTTGTTTTGGCAGTAAACATTTCTGTTGTTTCCTAGGTAACTGTGGAAGTTGTTCTGTTTTTTGCTGCCTTACTAACCGAGGTATTGCAAGTTTTTGAGCATCACTTTCAATACCTTTACTCCTTTTAACTTCTTCTTCTAATTTCTTTTTCCCTTCATTCGATTTTTTACCATTACTCCGTTTTTTACCTTTACACCTTTCTGGTGGCGTTTTATTAGATAAACTAGAATCTTCCTAAACAAAGAAAAATAATTATTATAGCTTAACTCTTATTCCTTAGTAAAATATAAATTTCTTTAAAGGTAATAATTAATTTTTGTTAAGATAAAAAATTTTTTTTCTACTCGAGAAATGTTTTTTATGTTGATAAAAAATATCACATTTTTCAACACAAAACACAAAAATTCAATCTGAACTACAAAGTACATGTAAATTAAAGTTATACAATTTGAGCAACCAGTACAATTAAATAACCAGTTGTATAATGTGTAATATGGGGGTTGGTCAGGTGGTACCCCCAAGTTTATATAAAAATTATAAATTTTTTTTCCAACCTACATTCATGAATAAATTAGTGCATGATTTTTTAGTTTAAAAAATAAATATAAAATTTAAAAATAAAATAGGCAATGAAAATTATAAAATATAATAAAAAACAATTTCTTAGGTTCAGCATTTATTAAGGAATTTATTGATTGAGTCACAAAAAGGTTGTCTGAAACTCAGTAACATTCTATAAAATTTACACTTTATTACATAATACATTTAATCTACTAAGTATATTCCATAATGTTCTAGTACCTTCGAATAATGTTCGATCATTTTATTAATTCGTTCCTTAAATAGGATTTAATACTTAAAAGTGATGCCAAATATTTGATAATAAACACTAAACAAACATTTGTTGGTGCTATTTTTAAATTGGACCTTTTTTTTTTACAACCAATAATATTTTCTAAGCATTTTAAGTCATATAAGGGAATCTATGATGTAGTCAGCATCATGCATTTCGAGTAAAACAAAGTTTAACAATAAGGTATAGTTAAATTATTGATCAGATATGAAAGTTCATATAGTTCTGATGTATATTAAATATAAAGAAAATAATATTTAAAAAAAAAAATTAAAATATATAGTTAATTTAATATCACTCACGGTTTGGATGAAGAAAAGAATATAGGAAATCCAAATTTAAAGTAGATATATTATAAGATAACAGCAAACAAGCCTCCAGTGATTAAATTGTTTTATAAATCAAACATTTTTTTTTTGTTTTAAACAACTTCTTCAAAAAAAGGGAGACGTATCAAAATCATACATCAGAATTAAGAAATTATTAAATTAGAAAAGGGCAAACAGAAAGTATTTTTTATAAACTAATGAGATCATATAACAAAATAATTACCTCAACCTTTCTTTTACTTTCACCTTCAAACTGCTTACATTCGATACTCTTGGAAATTTTCGAACTCATTATATAAGCTGCATCTGAGAAATAAATAAGTAATTTCAATTACTCAGAAGAAACACATATGTATAACAGGGATTCAAATGAAAATTGAGAGAATGGAAATAAGTATAATAATAAAGTAGCTAAAAGAAAAACATTTACTTCATTATTTTTTTAGTATATTAGTCCAGATATATAATGGGCTGTTAGAAGACTCACGGTGGAAGGCAAAATTCAAAGCATAAGATGAAAAAAAAAATTTGGTTTTAAATAAAAAAAAATGCTTTATTTATTCATATGTATAAGTTCCTGAAAGTAGATATATTTAATAAGAAACATTTGGTTCTAAATAATCTCAATGTATTATCTGTTTAATATAACATTAAATAAAAAAGATTGAAATATATTGACAGCAATAAGCAAGCCGTACCTAGTTCTAAGTAGCTACATTTTTTGAGAATTGATCCAGTAGCAAGTATTTTAAAGTGCTACCATTTTTTTTTTTTTTGTATTTTTAAAGATTAAGGATCATAAAAAAAACTTTACTTTATCTGTTAAAATTACCATAAGACATACCATCATTAACAGAAGGTGGAATGACGGGTGTTGAAGTTGTAGGAAGACCTCTTGAGGCAAGGTGAGCCTCTAATTCAGTCAGGGTGGATATAGGAGTACCGAGCACTTGCGCAGCCCAAGCACAAGTTCTTCCTCCTTCCTCACCACCGCCGCTGGACAACTGAGTGGAAAGTAAACTAATATTAGAAGAATAATGGATATAACAAAATTTATTGTTCAAAAATGTTAAACATATAAGAATGATTCCTAATGATGCTATAAAATGTCTAAAAAAATTAATATACATGATTTTTGTTCGGGTTAGGGGTCAAATATATAACTAACCGTTATAACTGATCCCTAGGTTCGAACTAGAATAACGTTAAGTACTCTATTTTTGAAATAAACTTGGTTTTTATTTCACTAAAACTTTGAACTTTTAAACCTTTTTTTGACTTTTTAGAAGAACAATAATTAAATTACATATGCCTTTTTCAACAATATGTGAAACTTTTAAATATTTATAACATAAATATCACTTTTGATTCCCTAACAATTTGTGTTCAAAAATCAATGGATGTCATTTTTAAAAATAATTTTATTTTTTCGTTTACAACCATGTTATCACCTTTAAAGAAGTCCCAATGATATACCTAATACTTATGACAGCGCTTTTTCCTGACTCTGAAAAACTTGTAAAACTCGATCTTTGGGATATCATGTAGTTCTCTCTAAGTTGCACTTTTAATCTTGAAAAATGACGACCTTATATGATTTTTATAATTTCTGGAAAGAGGGAAAAGTCACACAGGACCATATCAGATAAAAATGGATGCGGGGCCATCATTACAATGTTTTTCTTCAAAAACAGAAATATTTGTTCTAAAAATATCAAAGAAGCAATGAATTATATGCAGATTCATTATAATGAATTGTTATGAGCCAATGATAAGGCAACTTCATCAGCCACTTCTCTAATAATCACTTGTCGATAGTTCATAATCATTTCTTTCACTTTTTCTGCATTTTCATTGGTTGTTGAGGTTCTGAGGCTTTCAGAACACACATAGCCCTTAACATCTTCATGGTCATTTTGGCAATGCTTGTACCATTCATGAACCATTGTTTTACTTAACGATCTCATCAAAAATAATATTTAACATTTTTAAATCTTTATTACATTTTATTCCATTTTCATAGACATTTTTTAAGGTTTTAAAAGACATAGACATGTTTACCAACATAGTTATGGAAAATTGCCCGAATCTAATCCGTGAAATATTAAATTTCCTGTTACTTTATGAACATATCTAGTATACTAACTGTAATTCAGTCCTTTATAAGATTATTTTTAGTTAATTCTCATTAAAATTTATCCAATTTAGACTTTGTTAATGCTATTGAATAAAATCAAGGACTTAATTGAAGTGCATGACAAAATACTTTCAATAAACATAGATAGTTTTTAATGTGAGGGTAACTAAATTTTTTTTTTAAATAGATATATCTTTCATACAAACACTAAGAGGAAAAAAATCAATATGTATTGAAGAAAGTAAAAATCTACAACTTATTTTGAATATAAAATTTATACCCGTGGTAGAGTTGGAGTCGGCAATTCCGTTCTGCAAGTCATACCAGAATAACAGTAACGTGAATTGCCACGTGTGCCAAGTCTTCTAGGCCTCACATTAGGATAAACCTGTTTCATCACTTTGCCAAAGTCAGCAGTAGAAAGCGGTTTTATCCCATTTTGACTAGAATATTCTCTGTGAAGAATAAAATTTAAATTAATAAACAAACAATTAATACAGTATTTAAAGGTGAAACCATAGAAATATAATAATTCGTTCATGATTAAACAAAAAAACAATGTAAAAATATATTACAGGTATTCATTGTAGACATCTTGCTTTGGAATTGAAGTTTCTTTATCTTCTTCCAAATGAGTTTTTATCCATGCTATGGTCTGAGATATTTCTGGACGGCTGCCCAAAGGATTTAACGGTCTAAAATAAAAGTAAGTTATCAATATTATAATACTGAAGTGTTTTTGTTATATTAGTACCAAACATGATAAAAATATTATAAGAGTTGGACAGGATGGATGTAAGGTTTAATTAAATTTTGTAAGTTTATGAACGAGATCCATAAAATCTGCAAGCGTCGGACTGTATGGACAATTGGAAACTGGAATATTAAAACTGTCCTCGTACAGAGCTTTTTATATGCAGATGACATTGTGTTCATCGCCAATTCCAAAGATGAAACTACAGCAAGATCTGGTAGAATGGGAAGAAAAGGTGCTGAGGAAAGGTATGCAAATAAATGCCTCCAAAAGTAAAGTGATGATTATGGCGAGAGAAGAAGAGGAAAACGCCCAATTGGTTTGCAACGGAGAGATTCTTGAGGTAGTCAAGGAGTACACATACTTAGGTACCATAATTACTAACGCTGGTAAGATAGATGCTGAGATTTCGTATAGAATATCGAAGGCGAATCAAGTATATCACCAGATCGCTAGCAGTATTTTCAGCTGCCGTGAAGTGGATAAAAATATCAAAATGCACGTCTATAAGTCTGTATACCTTCCTATTCTCACCTATATAAGGATATTCGATGAAAGTCTTGCTTTGATATTATGCTTAATGATAAGGAATGGTGTTGATGATACGATAAGCTTAGGATAGAACATAAATATATATATTTTGTTTCTAGATCAATCAAATGAGATTAGAATAAAATAAAGCAAATTAAACAAATTGTGGTTTTCAGAGGTGCTCATCTCCCCTAAGAACAATGGCATATGATTCCCTTCCCAAGAAAATTTATTGCTTTCCTCATATTAAAAAAGGTACAAATGAAAATAAAATTATTGCCTTTTTTCTTCTTTTTTTTTTATGTAGTTTGCCTGAGTTAAAAGTTATATTACCAGAGTTCATCATTATTTGTTGAAGTAGTGCTCAATGTTGATCTACTAAGTGGTCAGCCTTACTCTCAAGATATTACTGATTGATATATACCGTGAGCAAGGGATCTCTAAACTTTTTGGAGTGCAGGCCACATTAACACCTTTACAAAGCCCTGCGGACCACATTGAGACCTCCACTTCAGTCCTACGGACCATGGCTTGTGATAAAAAAAGAAATCTTGTCATATAAATGACACATTTCTGAAATGAGGTTTCTAAGAGAAAAAACATACAATAAATGTTGTAGTAACCTCTTGTGAGAGTAATTTGGCGAATTTCACATTTTTTAAATAGTTTTTAAAATGTTACCATGCAATCAAAATAACTTTCACGAACTGGACTAGAAGTTCTTGCGGACCAGATGTGGCCTGCGAGCCGTAATTTAACCCCCGATATAAACAATGCAGGAGCCACCAGTTGTTAATATATTATGATAATTGTTTAATCTTTCATTATCTCGGCAAATCATGAGACCTCACTACCACACAAGGAAACTAAAGCCAATTCAGGCCATGAAGATGTATTATTCTAGAAGAGTTGGAGACTGAACAATCTTCTTTAATCATACTACAGTCCAAGTAGGGCCCTTCCCTTCTTACTAAGCTTTTGCCAGATGATTCGTTTTTGTTCGACTGTTCTCCAGCCCCTGACTTTCAATAAGGTTCTAGCATTCTGTGTCAAATAGTCTTTCCTTTTGAGTTAGTAAAGGTTTCCGTCTAGTAAAGGCTTCCGAATGTCATCATTATTTATTCCAGCAACAAGTTCAGCCCAGTAAAGTTATCCAAGATTTGTGAGCTTCACGGTGTTTACTTCCTCAAATAGCTAATATAGTTTAACATTCTTCCTACTTTTCCAGTTGTCATCAACCTTGACAGAACTAAATATTCTTCTTCAGAGAAAAATTCTTTCAAAGATCAAATTTCATGCTTCTTACCCTTCTTTAGGGTTGAGAGATAATAAGAGAAAAAATTAAAAAGATCCTAATCATCTGGAATTATTGAGAAACATAGGGTTAGGTAGTTTCAGTAAATTTTAAGATTATTAGAAGGCGTGACAAGAGCCACACACGAAGTAGAAACAGAAGGAATATGAATGAGGAGAAGATTTATTAATACCAAGAAGGAGGGATGCAAGAAGAAGACAGAGTGAAACAGGAAAGATGGTGAGACAGAATTGAAAGCTTATCTTTGAATGATTAAAATTTAAAATCTTGAAGTATTAAATACAAGAATTAAGAACCCATTTTGAATGGATCGAAAAATTATCAAGGAGAGGCTGACTCCTGTAAAATAAATTCAGCTAAAATAAAATTAGATATATAAGAACTTGGGTAAATATAGGAGATCATACATTAATATAACTTATCTTGGATACTATCATATCATATCAGTTATCTTCTATCTTAATAAAAAAGAAATATTAATGAAGTTAAATGCAATGCTAATAAACAGCAATAGATATGACTAAGAACAATTCCAACATTCTACAGTAAACAATTATGAGTGTACAGGTATAAAATCAATGATAAAACAATTTCATTTACAATGAGAAAAAATTCAACAAATATTATTACATGTTACTTCAAATTGCTTACTGTTTCAGTGGGTCTGGAATTTCTTTTCCTGTGGGTAACTTCAAATAAAGCAACAACTTTTCCACAGGTGAAAGGCTCCTGACTTGTTCGAGAATGGATTCAATAACCAGTTTCGAAGAAGTACTAAAACAAAAGTAGATATTGTCTATATTATATTTTAGAACAAAGGTATATAAAAGAGAGCAGATTATCAGAAAATCCTATGGCTTAATGACTAATTACTCACGGAAGATTCTTTTCAACAGAATGAGCCAAATTTGAAGTATCATTCAAGCGTGATTCTATTTGATTTACATCGGGAAAAAAATATTTGAGTGTCTTAAATCCGTTGTCAGTTTCTTGAATTTGGCATAGTTGATCGAATGCCATAAATTCATCATTGTTTTGACAAAAAACTGAATCATCGCCGGCTGAGCATCCAGCTTTAATGTCATCCAAGGGGATACTCTGTTCAGCTTTGATTTTGAAATGAGTCCCTTTAAAAGCTTCTCGTGAGAAATGCATGTCGTTTCGTTGAGGTCAGAGGCCAAGAAAGACACGAATTTCCCACTCGCTAAAATAATTTTCATTAGAGACACTCCATCCATTTTGTTGTTAAAACATCTCAGAACTTCTGAGTCCCGAAACAGCTGACCGCTATCAGAGTTGCTATTGAGCAGAATCTCGAGTTGAACTCGGGGGCAAGCGGATACTTACTCAATTAACATCATTATACAATATAATAAACAAGATATAATTCGGCGGTTTAGTTCTACATATAAAATAGTAATTAGCGAGTTAATAAGAGCTCAGTTTCTGAAGAAATATGACATAAGTTCAGTTTTTCAAATAATTTTTTAATGTACAAATTGTTTGTTAATTTTCATGTATATTTTATTCATTACTATTTTTATAATAATGAATTTGAAGTAAGGGAGGACAATGTTAACTTTTATACTTATTTTTTTATATTGAGATGAAAGTTGTGCCGCCAAACTGGAGCGGAGACTGGTGCTATCTAGTGCTAAGTCGGCGAAGCTGTGGTATTATTCCTTCTTGCCATATGTTCTTATTAATACTCTTGTAACTCTTCTTTAAGGTTTGTTTAGATGGGTTTTGCTGTAACAGTGTATGTCCCCAGTTTAACGTTAAAGTCCCTAATTAAAGTTATGGAATATTTTATTAAATAACTAATGGATAAAAGTAGAGTGCTGCCATTGTGTTTGTCGAACGTACTAATTTCCTCTTAAGTTTCTATCGGGCTTCTAAGCTTTGGAGTGTGTGTGTAAGCCAAAATGGCGACAAGTGATGATGAACCAATGCATCTTTACGAAGTGTTTCAGAATTGCTTCAATAAAATTACGAATTCAAAAAATGGTAAGTAGGATGTTTAATTAAAATATTTATTATTACCCCTAGGTTAAGTACCGATTACAACTATGTTGTTCGAGTGAATGTCTTGTACTTTTGTTGTGCACCAGCTTCCTACTGGTCATGTATATAGCAACTGTGATATTAAAGCAATATTTGATTAAGAATATGAGGTTTTGGTACCGCAGGATCTCTTATCAACTCTTGGCAGATCAGTAGAATTAAGTTAATGTAGTGGTCAGGTTATATGGGTCATGTTTATGTATTGTTATGTGAATGTTTTGGTTCAGTATGGTTCTCTTTTAGGCATGTTACTAGTTTTTTCGGTAACATTTTTATAGTATATGATGTGTATACTATGACATCTATCTGAATTAATTATGTATTGCTACAGTAGTAATATGGTTAATCAGATTAGGTTATGATTTATGAGATAGAATAGGTATCTTCTCCTTTTTTACTTTTGTAATTTTGGTTTCTCACATGTGTAATTGTTATAATACGCACAATTATCACAGTATTTTATTATGCCTATTATTGTAATTATCCTGACAAACTCTTAAAGTACTATACATATATTCTTTTTTCTGCAGATGTCATCAATCAATTGTTGTAATATGATTCTTTGTTTTTATCTTACTGTTGTTAAATTAAATTAAGTAATTATATTCTATTTTATTGACATTTAATATAAAAAATTTCTTGTGCAGCAATTCATTGTACAATTTTACGTTATTCCAAGATCTGTTATTGTTAGGGAGGTTGTCGAACAATTAATGGCCTTCTTTGAATTATTATTTGTTATCATTGACTAGAAGTTATATCTCAAACAGTTTATTTCTGGAATAATCTTGTTTTATTTCTTCATTATCATTTCTATTTTTGTATTATCTGTATTACTTCTAAACCATGATTTGCCTTGTTCATTCAAATTTTCAGTTACATCGTTTTTTAACAATATTCTTTTCATAATGATGATGTATACTTAGAGAAGGATATATGATGCTAGGAATGAGATTTTTAAATTTTATATGTTTTTTAATTGTTGAGTCCAGACCTTCATTTATAAATAGTACATATTAGGTTGTAGTATCCTTCAATATTTTTAAGCGGATTGTTCAACAAGTAGACATCATATTTGTTATCAGTTTGATAATTTGGATTTGATTACAATCTGATACAATTAAATGTAGAAATATATTATAATTTCAATGTATTACATAAGGAATTCGGTATGTCCGAAACTTAAATCATCTTTATTATTGTATGTCTTAACTCGTTGACGGTTTATTCACATTTTATTTTACCAGTTGTTCAACCTGTAGGTTTGCTGTGAGGTGTATATGCTTAATGATATTAGTGTTTTTTACTAAAGTTTATTATCAGAACATAAAATATGATTTTATTTGTTCTTGAAATCATTATTAATATTTTCTTATAAAGTTTATTTTTTCATTTGATGGTTAAGAGTTTTTATTTTTATTTAGTTGCATTCAAAAAATATTTTAGAGAATGGTGGTGAGGTAGCTGATTGGATTCTGACTTGTTAGAATAGAGTTGTTTCTTATAGTAGTCCTATAATTAATCAATCTGAATTGAATGATCGCATTGGGAAATTAGTTTTCCAATTAATAGTTTGTTTGAAATAGTAATGGTTGCTTGAACTAGAGCTGGAGAATAATTTGACTTGGTGATTGCTAACCAGCTGTCACTTAAATAGAAGTTAAAGGAGTTTATCACAGTCCTTATTGAATTTGGTAATTCAGAGTGTGGCGAGTATCACTGAGGGATATTTGAGAATAAGAATTTATTATAAAATAATCATTAAGGTTTATTTTTTTTCTGATTAAAATAATTGCACTGTTTGAAAGGACTTCTCCTATAACCAGTGTCATGGTTGAGAGAGGGACATTCAATTATGCTTTTAAGAAACTAAATCGCAAAGCAGTCAGATTCCATCCATCAATGTGTTAAAATTAAAAGCGCTTGATAAGACAAGTAAATTAAAATAATCAGTAATATTTTATGGCTTTTAAGTCACTGAAAAAAGCAAAACAAGTATTTTAATTTAAAATATTATTGTTATGAATCTAACTGCTTTACAGATAATTTTTTTTTTTAAACATAATCGAACATACTCACTTAATTTTGGCATTGGTCACACACTTATTATATTTAATATAAACTCTTTATTTCTTTTAGAAATAGATTTTTTCTTTTTTTTTTTACTTCCTGAAATGGTTGGATCATGATAAATGCTGTTGCATATTTTGGGGGAATACTATTAGATGTGCATACTACATAAAGAAGATTATTTTTCTTGAAAATGCATAATATTATATTTTCTGTATGACAGATGGTTAGGTTTACTGACAAAATATTTATGTCTCCTAGCTCTTTTACATACTGTATTTCTCAGTTTAAATTTCAGATGTTTACAGTCATTTGGTTGTGTTAAAACTTGAAAATTACTTGGTATAACCATAATTTTCATTATTCGTTCTGTCAAATGCATGTTATATTAAACCTGCTTTGATTTATTTATGCCTTCCCATCCTCCCTTCTCCCATAAGGTATTCTAGCATTTGATAGATTGTTATGGATATCCATGTGTTACTTAGTTACAGTTTTTTATCAACCATTTTTCTATTGCTTTCTGGATTTTATTGTATATAATATTTTTTATGACTTTATTATGGAATATTTTGTCTGCTATATCATCACCTCAAAACATCTTACTGGGTGAGATTCTTATTGGCGAAGACTTAAACTAAATTTGACGTTGGTTAACATTCATGATTGTAATTCTTGTATGAAAACCTGTTTAGGTTGATTCCTAGCAACTATCAAACTGAATTTTATAAGAATTTATTGGGTAATAAAATAGATAAAGAAAATTTTAAAACTTTTGAGTAATTTATTTTGTTAAAGATCCATTATTATTTTTCAAAAGTTAGAGTATTGAAATAGAAGACAAAAAAAAGTTTTATAATAAAATATATAATACAGATATTATTAGGTGGTCTTAGTATATTGTACTCCTCTTTATAGTAAAAGAACATTGGAATGAGAGATCTTGGCTACCCAGTTGTGAATGTTGTGGGTTCAATTCCCACATGTGTCTGTTAATATTTGTCTTGGTGGCAAACTCTAGGTAGTCATCAGGGGTTGGCAAAGAATTCATTTTCCGGACTAGTTCCCCCATCATTAGCAGTAGTATATTGTACAAAATTTAAACTGATTTAATTTAAACATAATTATTACTACTTTTATAATTATCATCTTTACTATTATCAGGCAGATGAAATATGAAAATTACGGATTTTATATCTTACCCATAAATAAAAAACTGTCTCCACTCTTATACATTATTTCTGTTCTCTTACTCTTCTTCAGGTTGGCCATCAGTTACTGGTTCAAGGTATAGTTCTGGATTTTAATAATCTGTCCAAACTACATTAAAATAGAGATAGAAGTTGAATTTAAATGTTTAAAAATTATATATTTTCAACATCAATAATTTACATTTGTTGTGTACATCATTGAGATTATTTAGTTAGACTATTATATCCTATTATATTGCTTAAAATGTCCTTATAAGAGAATATTTAATTGTTAATACAGGGGAAGGGGAGGTGGTGAATCATGATATTATTAACTGCTAAATTCTGATTTTATTGTTTTGAAAATTCTTTTCTGTTTGTTGTATATTACTTTTTCCAATTGTCATGTCTCTCTTAATTATGTTGAGATTATTTATTAGAAAAAAATATTAATCTAGGTATTTTATAAATTGTTTAAAATCCTGAAATTTGTTGAATATTATTCATTTAAAGTTTGACATGTTTTTATAGTTAAATTACATTAAATAGTCTATTATAGAAGAAAAAAAAATCAATTGTATGATAAATGAAATGTTTGGTGATGAAATTAATATCAAATTTGTATTTCTAGGAAATAAGAGGAAACAAGATTATTATAAATCACAATTTAAAAAATTCAGATTCTTTTCATTACCTTGCCTTGTATATTTGGGATTCCTTGCGTGAATTTTTAATAAACTATTTATAAATAACTAAAATAAAACCGGTAAACTAAAACCATAACATGGTGTCAAGAAATTCATTTGTACTTATTTAATATCATCAATTGGTGGCCGATATAGGAGGGTGTAAAGTGAAAATCATGGGATCAAATCCCGGCCCCTACTTCCTAGTACAGCTGGCCCCTCAGAAAGTTAGACCATACCCCCTTAATTAGGGGAGTCCTACATGATGAAAATATTATTGTAAAAACAGAATCCTACATTTTTGTGTGAATTGTAAAATAATTATTGATATATATTTTGTATATATTAATAATTCATGTAATTTATAATTACGCTATTATTTATTATTATTGAAAAATTAAGATATCATACAGAATTGAAATGTATAGAAATTAATATCGAACTTGGCTGAATAATTATCGATGATCAAGTTGATAGTTATAAAAACCAAATAATTTAACTAAAATTTAGAGACTGTTTTAAAATTTTTAATCTATGTGATCAAATCTTTTTTTTACTTTGAACTATATAATTTGCACTTGCAATATCTGTGATTACTATTATCATCATAGATGTAATCTTTCAAATCATTATTAGTAACTATTAGTCATAATTTCTTTTATTTTTTGAATACATTTTTATTTTGGAAACAATTTTAAGAGTGTTACATTGTTTTTACAAAAAAAACTTGTACCACTACAACCCACAAAGGGTTTTGGGTTCTGTACTTTGTAAGGAAGTACTATTTAGAGGTAGTGCAACGAAATGATCGGGCCACGATCATACTCAACCATCCAATTTTTTCGCTTAATTAATTATTTAATTAAGGGTATCCTGTTTTTGCAAACCAAATAAAAAAAAAATCCTTCATGAAATTGTTTAGAAAATGTTACTTTTTTTTTTTTAAACAATATATTTACTTTCAATTTTTGTATAAGATCCGACAACATAAAAATTTAGTATTTTAGGTGAACTATAGCCGAAGCGGAGAGAGAGAGAGGGAGGGGAGGAAGGCCTTAGCGTGGGGGATGGGAGATGCCTATTTTCCACCTGAGCAGATTTAATACTGGAAGCCGTGGAGTAATCTCCCTCATATCTTGGCCTTCATGATTCATAGCACTGTAACAATCAAAGCCCTTACTCTCCTTTCAACCGCCCGAGATAATTATATTTTCTATCTTCCTGTTCTGCCGTTCTCTCTTATCAGTTAGTTACGTTTAATGACTTTTAAATAATCCTATTTCTCTAAAAAATTTATGTGAGCACTTCTGTAGGAAGTGTTCTTAGTAATATCTTCTCAATTAAGAGTAACTCAAGTAGCTTAAAATTACTTATCAGAGGATATGTGACTATTTGGAATGCATTAATTTTTCTAATTATAATTTAAAAATTTTGTTTAGTAAATATTATTTGTTATTGATTATATTATATTTATTTCAGATAAAGCTGGATTCCAGTCGCCTTATTCCATGGATAATGGAATGGTAAGTGATTTTTTTTTTTTAATCATGCATGAACCAAAATTATTTGAATTATAGTTATATTTATTTCTTTTATAGGAACATATTCGGTATAGTTAAGTCAGTTAAAATGAAAATTACTTTAATCCAGATTAGGATTTTGTGAAAAAATGGAACTAAAAGTGAATTTAATAACCGAGATATTAATTTTTACTATTTTTTCAGCAAATACATCCAATTGAATTTACATAACTATTTCTAGACATTAATTTAGTTTCTAAAATTTATTTATTGTATGTGTTAAAAATTTAAATTTTTTCAAATTTAGATTCTTAAAAATCTGAACAAATTTTCTGATATAAATCTTGAGCGTAGTTGTAGAAGTATGCCATTTTTAATTTGAGAAAGACAGATAAACCAAAAGAAAAAAATGTATTTCATTAATTTATATTTAAAAAAAAAAAAAACACCATCACAACCCATTGAGGGTCTTGGTCCAATACTTGTAAAGAAGTATTGCTTCTTGATCAATTTTTATACAGTATGATGATCTGACCGATATCATGTTCAACCTCCAGATTATTCTCCTTAATCAATTGTGACTATCCTCTTTATAGAGACTGAGAGTGCTCAGTATAGTCTCTGGACCAATGAGATGATCCATGGCAGAATATATAAATACTTGCTGCAGTGGATTTCAAACAAAGTAACTGGAGCATAAGCCTTACTCGCAAAGCTATTCCACTCCTTTATTATTTATAAACATCAATTTTCAAAATTTAGTATTTCGATAACCTGGGATAGTCAGGAAATAGCATTATAAAAAGGTTTCAGTAGAAACACTGTCTGTTGTTTGTTTTTCTTTGAACTCATTTATGGGTGTTGAAGTTTTATTCGTTATATTTGAAGACCGAGAAAATATAAAAATTTGACTTCAAATAAAATAATTATGCACCTACAAACAAATAATAGATATTCATATCTTGATTGAAAAATCTAGTCAAAATTATGAAAGGTCTTCAATTTAGATTTTATAAATTGTTTATAAAGCATCATTCATCAGTATCTGTTAAACATCACTGAATTAGAACCCCAAAAAGGTGGTGGTTTTAAATTGTTGAAGTATTTCAAAGGAAAATATTCACAGAAAAATGATTATATAAAATACAGTTATGCAAGGATATTTTATTTGCTTAAAATAACTTGAAAAAGTTAAATTTTTTGTTTTTAAACAAACAAAAATGTGTTAATTAATTACATTTATAGATTCACTTAAATTATTGTTAAACAGGAAGTGAAAGATCAAGAATGGAAAAATTACAAACTAATAAATTTAATGGAATTGTGAACAGGCGCTGATTCCTCCTACCTGCGAAACTAGATACGGAATATTATAGCTTTGAAAACCTGTGCCTAAAACTAAAAAGAAAATGGATGATTAATCATTTTATAACCAAAAGTTGTAACTTATTACTTTAATACGTGTTAGCTTTCTGATGATATTTAATATTCTTTTTAATAAAAAAATTGTTTTTATATTACCAATGTGTTTAATTTATATTTTTACAAAAATTAGATTTACTTGTTAGCTGTTTATAGGTAAAAGTATTTTTGTAGTGATAATTTATGTCATCCTTTCATTTGCTTAACCATCGGATTGTCTCTGTATTTACTTATTATATTTTTAATCATAATAGTAATATTATTAATAAAGAATTTTCTGAAATTCTTAAAAAGTTACTAAAATTTAATAAGCCACTGAGTTAAAGTTATTACTATGTTCCACAAACCTAAGTCTCAAGAATGGATCATGTGAGAGTTTTTGAATGAATGAAAATAATTTTATTATTCTGGGACTATTGTTCCCTTAGAACAAGTTACAAACACAGAATATATATTAATATTCTGGTGTGTCCATAAAATATAATTAAATATTTACAGGATGATTAGGAATACAATAAATTATAGATAATAAAAATATATAATAACGTGTATAAATATAAAATAAACAGAGAAAGTAAATTAAGTAAACAAAATATCAATGAATTACAAAATAATCAAAGTATCTGGGTGTACTTTGAGATTCTTACAACTTAGATTTTTAAGTGCATTTCGTGATCAATCGGATTGGGAATGGAGTAGGTGTTTGAAGAGGAGAGATTTGAAAGAGGATATTGATTTTGCATGTCGAATATCAGAGGGTATAGAGTTCCAGAGGGAGACAACTTGAATTAAAAAGGATGTATCAAACGCAGTAGTTCGGTGAGGAAGAGGATAGAGGTCGGATGCACGGGATCTGGTGGGGCGGGATTGAAAGAAGTTTGCGGAAATCTTGAAATAAAAATAGGTCAATTTTTTGTTTGTATTGTTTAATTTATTTTTGTAAAAATATCTTGATAAGAAAGCCTAAAAAAATATGTAGTTATCTTTGTACTGGGTCATGAATTTCGACTGCCTATAACTTCAACACGAATTATTTTTTTGTTCGTACCCTCAAATAATAGAGACATTCCAAGTTTAATTAATTATTTAGACTGTGAGACCATTAAAGCTCTTAGGTAACAACAATGAAATCTCTTTAAAGATCATATTCAAGGAACCCACAAAAGTGTAAATCAAGTGATTTAATTTTCAATTGATAATAATTCTACCTTAAGTAGTTGGAATACCAAAGAAGTTAGTTGATCTAGTAGAAATGTCTGAAACGTTTGATGCAATTCGAATATGTGGATTTTATTCTGAAAAGTTTAATGTCTCTTTAGGTTTAAAGATGATGAGACACATTCCCTCCATTTTTGTTTAATTTAGTATTTGAAGGTTTTAACTCAGTGTTGTAAAACACCTGTGATTTGGTACTCTGATTATTTCATAAAGACCATTAAATCAAATGTTGATGAAGGACTGATAAGAATTGTGTCTCATGATGAGTTTCCGATTAAAAATATATATTTGGATAGTAGCAGGAATGAGGACGTTATAGCCGAAGGTACTAGAGTGCTTGCTTCTGAAAGCTTTAAGAAATGAATCTTGATGCTCCCACTCTTGTTAGTACATAGCAGTAATCTCTAGCCATCAGGGGTGTGCAAGAAGGACCACAAGGCCCACTTGCTGGATTAGTCCTCCCTCTAGTTGCAGAAATGGCTATAATTTTGGTACTATAGATTAACCGAAAACACATTTGAAGTTTTGTAGAAATATAAGTAACAAATTTGGGGGTCAATAACTAAGCAGGATTTGTTTGGGGAGGAGACATCATCTCTTATATCCAGCTGAGCCGATTAAGGTGGTTGGGACCACTAGCAGATCCAGGATTTAATTTTGGAGGGGGGCTTCAGCCCGAAAGCTTTTTTTTTTTCCATAAATATAACGATAATTACTTTGGAAAATAATAAAGAAACTAACTACCTATTTGAAATGGTGTTTAAGTGATTCCTAAAGTCTTTTTAAATGTAATTACATGAACAATAATACTTTAAGGATTTTTTTCCCTATAAAACATGGTTATATTTTACTATTGAGGGGGGGGGGGTTGGCTTCAGCGCCAAAGTTTTTTTTTTTTTTTTTATGAATCGAATGAAAAATTATAAGGCAAACCTAAGTTGAATTACTCCATAAATATACCTTAGGCGATTCAGAGCGTTCAGCGACGATGGAGAATAGCACGGGAATTTTCTTATAATTTCTTGAAAAATTTATCCACAGTCGATATCCAAATGGTTTATTATTTCTTGGAAATGATTCAGAATGCCCACCTGTCCTGAAATATCTGGAAAAATAAAAGGAATTTTTTTACCTGGAAAAGTCAGGGAATTCAAAGAACGCGAGGATGACTTTTTGAAGAATAGTTTTACATTAATGTATATTAGCAGAGATATGTATGTATCAATTTAATATTAGTGATAAATACACATGTACGCCAAAGACAAGTGTATTACGGTGTGTCCATCGTTTATCTTTGATAAACATTTATTTAGTTGTTTGGTCCTCACCACTATCGGTGGTATGAAAGCTTAATATTTGTGCGGGAAGCTAAAACATATTTTTTTGCTCAGAATAGATAGTTTCTTCTCGCGTTTTACATTTTAGATATGAAGGAACGGTTTCGTATCTATGCGTGTCTTCAGTCGAACTATGTGACGGACGTATCATCTACCGTTAATTAGAAATTGATGAAATTTTCAGAGGTTGATGATTAGATGGATCTTTATCAATTTCATAAAATTCCATGCTCTAATTTCGCTCAAGCGCTCGCGTCTATGTTTTTTCTTATGCTTGCCTATATTTCAAAAAAAGCTCAGTCGAAAAAAAAATGAGATAGTTACAAGATTGGTTAAAAAAAAAGATACTTGATTTTGACGCAAACTTATTTTCCTTGATATGCCTCTAAGTTCGGAAACAAAGTTAGAGGTTCCCTGAGGATGATCCTCCTACCTTAACATTACTATCCGCCCTTTCCTTTCAATGTGGCGACTGAAAAACTTGTGTAACGCCAAAACGAATGTGAATGTACCGATTTCAATGAAACTTGGCTAAAGTGTTCTCTTCGATGCCCTTTAAATTTATCCATATAACGTACTTCAACGATAAGAAACTGGAAAAAAGTTACGAGGAGTGGTAAAATTAGATTTACGAATAACTTAAGAAGTATACACATTTATATTAATATTGTTTATAATTTTTCTAAAGTTTACGAAATATCCTAAAAAAAAAAATTAAAAAATCGTTGAAATCGGACAATTTAGTACAAAGATAGGGCACGGGCGGATCTACGGGGGGGGGGGGGGAGGCTTTCGGGCTGAAGCTCCCCCCCCCTCCCAAAATGGTAAAATATAACCATGTTTTATGGAAAAATATATTAAAAAATTATCTCTTAAAGTATTATTGTTCGTGTAATTACATTTTAAAGAACTAAAGGAATCACTTAAACACCATTTCATATAGATATTTAGTTTCTTTCTTTTTTTCCAAACGTAACTATAGTCATTTTTATGAGAAAAAAAAGCTTTCGGGCTGAAGCCCCCCCC